TTTTTTCTTTTTACCTCATCGCGACGTAACGCAACGAGCACTATTTTTATATTCTCAAAGGAAATACGGAAAACAATAATTTTATTAGAGGAACGAAAACTCACTTGAGCGACTGAGAGAGCGCGCCTCTCTCGCGCCTCGAGTGTATCCCCGATAATAATCAGAGTTCAAAGAAGCCTCTCGTCGCACTTGATCCCGATCGACACCGCGCCCGTCTTACGTCGCGCGCATTTCCCGGTGAACCGCTCTCTCCAACATCAAAGATCTTTGAGGGAGCTAGAATTACCGTGTTTATCACACGGAGATTTCCTGAATCTGCACACGCTTCTTCGCGCTACCGGGCGTCCCGGGCTGCCGTAGGATTCCGGGACACGTGAGACCGACGTTGGGCGCCGGTGCCTTGGGCGGCGGCGGCGGTTCCGGCAACTCGTCGTTCTCGTCCTCGCTGTCGTGAGGGATGCCGCCGACGTCGCTGACCTCGTTCATTCGCGCGATCGTGGCGTCCACGCAGGGCGACGGCGTGCGGGTGCGCTGGATGCACGGGTTCTTGCTGTAGGTCGGCGGTTCCAGGATGCGCTTGCCGCCGCCGGGCGGCGGCGAGCACTGGAACTCCTGCAGCTGCATCTCCAGCTCCTGCACGAGCTTCGCCTTGTGCGGCGGCAGGATCGACGACGGCGAGTCTATTATGGAGGACGACAGTCGTTGCTTACCCGAGGCCGAGGTGTCCATGCCGGAGCAGCCGGCTTCCAGCAGCTCCTCCTTCTTCTTCGTGCCGAAGGCGCCCGACAGACCGCCGCTGGACGTGTTCCGGTCGCGCTGATGATAGATCCCCGCGAAGATCAGGATGTTGAGAAGCAGCAGAAACACGCCCACCGCAATCGTGACCGTGAGCGCCGTGGTGTAGCTCTGATAGTGGCTGGATGCCAGCTTGCGCAGGAGATTGTTAGGCCCCGGACCTAGATTCGCGTGCGGCATCGTGCGCGAGGTGGTGGGCGCCATTGTCGTCGCGACGGTCGTGTTCGGGGTGCATTCCGTGGTCGAGAGCACGGTCAGTATCGAGGAGGGCTCCGTGGGAGACGGCATGGGCAACGGGGGCGGCGGCAGGGGCGCGGCCGTGCTTTGTGGGCGTACCGGGCCCTCGTAAAGAGTCGGGCTCTCCGCGAGGTGATGGTGCCGCATGTTGATCTCGTAGCCCGGCCGGTGCAGCTGCGGCAGTAGATTCAGCCACAAGGACATCTTGTGGCCTCTGTAGTGCGAGCGCATCTCCGGACTATAACTGGCCTCCAAGTACAACTGGTTTATGGAGTCGTACGAATCCCAGAACGGCGGACTCGTCGCTGGGCTGCTGTCCAGTCCCGCGAACGAGGAACTGGCGCCGTTCGGATCCCTAGAACAGCGAGCGAACCGCGACCCTTTGACAAGTGGACAGATACCTACCGATGCGACTGGCTCGACGTTTTTGCGCGCGATTTATTATTCGCTGCTCTACGCTGCCCTATTTTGCTAATAATTCAATATGAGAAGAATTTTCGAGAAAATTAAATATTGTGCAATTTGTTTTTATATAACACTGAATTTTAACAATATTATTACTGTACAGTTCTTTGAAATGATCGCTAATTTAGAGTTCAAAAAATGTTTTTAATCAGAAAAGTTGAATTTTTGCGAGATCCTAAACAAACGACGCCGCCAATGAGATAATTCGTCACTGATAAACCTCAATTGCGAGAAAATCCACCGTGTCGATGACAGGGTAATCATCCAGATAGCCACCGATCCGCAATTAGAGAAGCCAAAATCACTTCGCGTCTTCTCCACTAACAACTCTACTCTACTTCGAGATTGCGAGCTTTCGCTGAGCGCGTTAACGGGCCTTTGGCGGGAGTTTGGCTCCGAAATCCTCTCGCAGCTGTAACTTTACCCTACTATCGACTACCACCACCAGGCTTCAGACTCTCCTCACGGAGGAGAGTAATCGAAGTATACATGTATGCTTAAGTTCCGAAGAACTTCGAAACCGGGTGAATTAACGAGAGGCGCGCTGCGCGTTCACTTATCCGATTAACCCTTTCGCACCCGTGTACGAGTTATCTCGTGACTCAATGACTGCTTGAATATCTCGCATTCGAGAAAACGTAAACTAGATACATTAATTTTCCGCGATACTCTCGCGCTTCCGTCAGCTATAATTGAGATGCAAAGCGGGAAGTGTTTCGGCCCGTATTTCTACCCCTCGCATTTCCATTGTTCCAAGTGAAAATAATTCATCCGCAACGGATGTAATTGCGTGATGATCTAAGACCAGCTAGTAAAAAAAAAAAAGGAAAAACAAAGAAGAATGGTGGGACTTACCCGCGCCTCACAAAGTTAGCCAAATAGTGCACGAGGAGCTTGGATAGATTCTCGTCGGCGGGGGTGTAGTTACCGAAGGCGGACAGCACAGACGTGACTTCCCCGCGGAGAAGAGGTATACCCAGAAGATACGGCACTTCCTCGCCCCTAAGGCTGAGAGGTCGTTCGCCCGGCTGGAAATGCAGGAAGTAGCCCCGTCCCTCCGAGGCAGAGTGCAGGAGGGCCAGTCTGAGGAGCGGCGCGGCGACTTGGCCGTCTCCGAGGAGAGATAAGAGACCCTTGCAGATCGCCATGGGACTCTGCTCGCCCTGTTCCCAGTCGGTGTACTCATTCCGGAGAGTGGAATAGATTTCATGCAGATGGTACCGGTACGTGTTTCGCACGTAAGTGCGCAGTATACGGTCCCTCCTCGTCTCGTTCAAGCCGCTCTGCGAATCGTAAGAATTGCCTGTTTTTTTTTTCTACGACGCAGAGGGTGCAGTTAAACCGCGGACGGTATGCGCGTTCCTTCGTGCCGTAAAATTCATTTATAAACCATCGGATTTAACTTTTCAACGTCAACTACTTATTAATTCACTACTTATTAATTTTAGGGCTGATTGATTTTTGTTACTAGTTGAAAGCAGATGATTAATCAGCAGGTTATATTCACGCAATTAATTAAACCACGTTTCGACGCATCTGTATACCGACCCGACAATCGTAAAGTAGCAAGACACATGTCACTACAGTGCGACTCAACGGCCGTGACCATCGGAGAGTCAATAATATCCGGAACGATTGCCGAGCGCAGGCCCGTGATGCCATCATGTAAAGCTCATCAATTTGTCAAACTATATCTAATCGATGTCAATTACATATTATGCACCAAGTGTCGGTCATTAATCAGGAAATTACTTCCGCTCGAACACGAATTACTTGATAAAATCGATACAAAAATAAAAGGGCGCACGACACGTGAAGCAGCAGAGATTAAAAGTTATCCGATCTTTTTATCTTTTTTAAATGATATTTTTATACAAAATATATGCATAATAAAAATGAAAAAAATACAACAAAAATTTTTAAAATAGTAATTAACATATTTTGTAGTTTTCTGTATATATTCTTTTTCTTAAGATTTCTAGAATTAAAACTCATGTATATAATAATCTTACCTTCAAATCTTCCTCGGAGAGATTAATCCAAGCTTCCTCGGATGTCAAACCAAAGAGCAAGTCACGATCGCCAAAGTCCGCGAATTCAGCGCCGGGCCCAGGCAGGATCGGCATTATTCCCGAAGAAGAGGCAGTAGGCTGGAAGTTCTGATCAAACAACCTTTTTTGTACTTAAGAAGATTGCGCGTAACAATAAAATTTACATGACTTCCAGTGTTTTTCTGCATTCGCTTTCGATTTCTCTCTCTTTCTCTCTCTCTCTCTCTCTCTCTCTCTCTCTCTCTCTCTCTCTCTCTCTCTCTGTGGTTGATAAATAAATCTCTATACCGGACACGAATAATATCCTTTGCAGTTTTATTTATACACAATATCAGATAACGTCGTTGCCGTATAGTGAGTTATAAATCGAAGCAGATGTGATAGGATTTGCGGAAGACACTTAACTGCTTTTTTTACAAAATCGCAGTTGCCGTGATTTGTGCATATTCATCCGTCTCTCCTAGTTTCATGTTTACCGTCATAATATCACGACGAGTGCGAGTAACCAGATACACTATCAACGGATGAGTTAATGGAGCATGCACGAAGTAGCTATTACGGTTCTCGGATCCGTCATCCGTCAGCCGGCTGCCCGTTCAATTAGCAGATTCATCGTTTACCTGTCGTCTCGTTCGCTCTTGCACAAAATCAATACACCGGCCGGCCGGTCGGCCGCCGGCATCAAGCTAATATCCGTATGCAGTTGCGAATTCCGTAATCGTCCGGATGAAACGCGTGTCTAGGCCGATGTTTATTTATCTCGCCGTCACCATATTTATTTGCATCCCATATGAAGCGGTAAATATTCTATGCGTGATCTGCGTTTAAACGGTTCACCGCTAGACGGCCAGTGCGTTCCGCTAAACGCGGAGAGTGTAAATGCAAATTTTATGAAAAATGGCTCGATGTCAAAAGCGGCGCAGAAACATTGAAACACTGCCGGTCTGACGTTTCCGAAACGGTAGATAACGTTGTCATCACAATTCAGAATAAAAAAAAAAAAAAAGAAAGTTGAAAAATGTTAATACGATATTTCTCGCAATTTTTTCGCGAAAATCAACTTTAATCTCAATTTAACTGATTCCATTTCCCTCCTAATTTTTAAGCTTAGAAAGACATAAACAATATTGATTAAGCCGCTATTAAAGTTAAGTAACGATAATTAAAGTTAACGACGCGCTAAAACCGGGGCAATAAAGCGAGGCGGATCGTAAAGCAAGTAGAAAATTATTGGCGCGCGGCTCTTTTCCCGGACTTCTAGACTCCTTCTCGAGGCTTATCGATTATCGGGCAGGCAAATCGTCTTACCTGATTGACCGTCGGTGGTAGAACGGTCCCGTCGATGAAGGGCGCGAATCCGGAAGTGAATCTCGGCGGATCCAGCTGCACCGCCAGTAGCTTCTCCACGCTCTTTAAACGAAGGCACGGTGCGATATCGTCGCTCTCGACGTCACCGGGACAACCGGTCTCTTCGGCGACACGGCGCTTCACCGTCAGCGGGTCTCGCTGAACCGCCCACGGCGACAGAGCCGAACCTCCGAGCAGAATCACCCTCCCGATTAACTCTGCAATTCGTGGGAAAATTCCCGTCAATTTCAATAAAAAACGCCAAAAATTTTTCAATTACTGTCGAGCAATTTTACATCAACAACATCATTCGATATTAACGTTATATTTAAAATGCAATAATTTTCACAAACAGAAAAGCGTTCTCTTATTATTTCGCAATATGAAAGTCTGCCGTTTAAATCGATTTAGTTTTGCCTTTTCGTTGGATTAAACTTAGACACGAAATTATACTGCGAGCATCAATAAATCAGTTCCAATTAGCACGTCCCTTTGCAAACGTCTCTTTGCAGATGGTTACAAACGTCAGTCAATGTTAAACGTAATTTGATCAATTCCCTTCCTTTGTAAGTAGGATTGTAATTTCCAAGAGAACTGTGATTACGTACATTCTGCTCCATAGCTTTATCCACAAGGCAAATAAGAAAATTTCGACATTCTATTTGCAATATTCACAAGAAAAATGTAAAAAACTTTTTTTTCCAAAGCAATATGTAGATTATTTAAGTTCTGCATAAAGACGTTATCAAAGGGGATAAATAAATTTCCGATGCATGTCTACAGTCCGCGTTCTATCGATTTCCGCATAAAGGGTTTGACGAATGTATCGCGTCAGCTGCAAACGACCGGTGGTGCATTGACCACCACCGCTGATGATTGACATTCGCGCGATCAGTCGTCAGCCGATTATACACCTTACCTTTCGCCATCGGAGAGACGGCTAAAAAATTGGCGAGAGCCGCTCCGGTGCCGTGGCCCAGCAACGCCAGTCGCTCGGGATCGCCGCCAAAAGCCCCGAGATTCTCGCGCAGCCAATGAAGTCCCGCCACCAGATCCATCAATCCGTAATTGCCCTGCGCGCTCCCTTTTGACCCGGTTTTCAGGAAGCCTGTCGTTTCAATGCCCGAATTAGGAAGGCGACTCATTTACGTTCGCTGGATAGATTGTTGAGGGTGCTCGCAAACGGATTCCCGGCGCCGTTATTCTCTAACGCTTCCACGAAAATATGAGCGGAGAGCTTGAAATGTGGCAACGTGTGTGTTTGCCGTCTCGAGGACGCGAGATAAAAGTGTTGGAAGCGTCGAAAAAAGTTCTCCGGGAGATTTGTTCAGACGCTTCCAGTAATGCTGTTGTCTTCTTGTTTCGAGAGAAGAGCCCTTCGACTTTTCTCGCACTTCATCCTTCTCGCGCGCACCCAGTCAAAGAAACAAATTCTATTGTATTAATTGCAAACTTTCGCTGAAATTGAATCCAATTACTTCTAGTGTTTACTCTAACATAATGAAAGAATCCGTCTGATCTAATTAATTATTACATAGTTGTTGTCGCAGGACGAAAGCCAAGATTGCCGTGGTGTGTGTGTGTATGTAAACGTAGTTATTGTAACGGGAAAAGCGACTGAGATCGCGCAGGATAAACCGGATTAAAATTAAACATTTGCTCGCCGGTGCTCCACTTCGCTCGCTTCAATTTGCTACACTGACCATCCTACGGGCTTGTCACTTTGATTCGCCATCTGCCTGCGAGGCGAGTTTTTCATTTCAATCCGATTCTCCTCTTAATCCCGTATTCGCGTATCTGCCACTACACTATTGCAAAATCCTAATTACACTCGTATTTAACACTGGAAAAATATTACAGAGAATATTGAATCATGTAAATAACGCGAAACAAATATTCCCGTCGCTATTTATGAAAAAGAATATTTCAAAAAACACATATTTGATTTCGAAAAACACAAAAATATTCATTGAAAAATTATCGTACATCTGATTATTTCTTTATTCATTCTTTTCAATTTGTTATTCTATTGCCGGCGATCGATGAAATACAGTGCGTCGATCAAAAATACATTTAACGTGATTTAATGTGATAGATCGATCTCAGTGATTTGTTTATACTCATTTATGCGAGAAACTGCTTCATTGTATGTACAAACATAAAAATAATTGGCGCAAAACAGTAGGAAAACACGAATAATGAGTGGGGCAACAAGCGAAAAAAAGCGAAAGAGAATCGAATCAGCCGGCCACGCAATATTGGATAACGCCGCAGGCATTGTTTCGCTTCAGCGATGAACAAAACGCATACGGAACTGCAGTATACCGACAAAGAGAAGCGCAAAACCAGTCCTGCTATGGTGAAAATACGGCGTATCGATATCGAAAATTGTTCCACTGACTGCCCGGAGCTCCTTTTATGAATGAGTATACGGGGGTTGTGAACACATACCTGCATACCTTCCCTGAATAATACGTTGTTCATCGTTTTATTCGCGATTAGGTGCCTTCAAACTGTTAAATGTCGCATACCGAGACTAAAAAATAAATTGCACCATTCTGGACATTTATGGATAACACGAAATAAAAATCCAAAGTGGAATTGCAGAATAAAAATAGAAATTTCTAAAAAAAGTTAATACAAAATTGGAGTTTTAAACTTTCCACCATTAATGTGTAATATTTTAATAATAATTCCGTTCATTATCAGCTAAAAAATGAAATTCATTGGCAATTGCCATAAATTCAAGTGAGACGAAACTCGCGACGATTTCGTCGCGTAAATGTCAATTATCTTTCCGGCGATGCTCCAGTTTAAATTATGCGCACACGACATTTAGCAGATGCACAAAAGTCGACCGTGTGATAAATGAGCGCGAAAATCTACTCGCATGGAAACATCCGAACCTTACATATTCCCTTCTTCGTCCTCATTAAACTCCCTTTGTTTCTTCGCCCTTTTGTTCTCGTTTTTTTTTTTTTTTAATTTGGTCACACGCACGAAAAAAGAAACAGGCGGCCGTCTCGCTCGCGCGCTGCACGGCCTTGTTATCCACATTCGAGGCGACGTTGCGTTTTTAAAGTCCCAACTATCGCGGAAGTAACAACACCCTGGAGGAAAATTCTCATATATACAACGCTCGCGGAGAAAGTAATCTAGTAAGATCTCGGCAAACTTTTCTCCCTGGCTGCCACGAATAATGAGATCATTCTTTTAGGTCCGCCGAAAGAACAAAAGAGCCTAGTCGCGCCGTAAAATAAACAAAGCGGAGTAAACTCGGTGTACTTTATAATCCGGAAACTTTCTATCAGCTCTTGCACACGAAATAGCAACGCGAATACTTGATTATCGTGCTGTCCGCCGTTGTTACGCTCGAGATAATAATTTCTCAACACAATGTGCGCGTTTATTGAATATTGATTGAAATGTCAACTTGTCAGTCGCCGATAAATATAGTTATTACTCAAGAAAATAATTGCTTCAATCGTCGGAATCTTTTTGTAAAAGGAGAATTGTGCTTGAAGCTCTGCTTGTGTTTTATTAATATTACCTCTAATATACTAGAAATAAAGTCTTACGAATAACGGAAAATGTCACACTTTGTGTCAAAGCGAGTCAGTGACAAACACTCGCAACTGCAAACAATTGCGAGGTGTGTCCTAAGGCGACAGAATGGGACAGTTTGTTTTCGTGAATGCGTATTGTTAGCTTACCAAGCACGCCAAGACGAAAATTGATGGAGACAACGATGAGGCGTCCGTGAGCGGCCAGGGCGGTCCCGTCGAATGAATTTCCGGCGCCCCACGAATAAGAATCGCCATGAATGAGAAGAAGAGCCGGCAGCGAATCCGCGACACTACCTGCAACATTAAAGAACATTCTACCACAACATCTTTCTACAGGTATGAATCTCAGCAAATTTGTACAAATATTGATAATAACTGCAAGTGTAAATTAATTTTATGATAATCAGCGATGCACTTTGTTTCGCTGTAATTACAATTTTACATATAAATTCTCTTTCTCGCATTTCAGATTAAATATTTGTTAAATCAAGACAAATACCACATTTAAATTACGTAATTTATATCAAAAATCGTTGATTGAATGTAGTTCATAATTCATTAATTATCCTTATCGGGTAATATTTTATAGAAATTTAAATTACAATTTCTTGCGTAGTATTCTCTTTCGTCATAATACATTCTCTGTCAAAAAAATATCGAATAAAAGTACGGACAAAGTTAGTTCAATTGCAGTATAATGAATGACTCAAATGTAATAAAATATCTTTTAAAAACTAGGCGTGATCAGATAAAAATACTATAAAAAAGTAACTTTGAGTTTCTACAAAAACGCTCGTGCCGAAGATTAACTTTATGCGACTTCATAATCATAAATCTCCAGTTTATACGATTACGAGTTTATGAAGACACAATCAGATTTTCATTATCAGTTTTATCGGTCAGTTGTAAGTTTACATTCAATGTTTTTCGGAAGAATTATATGGTTACATTTTATTTATATAGAAACAAATAATATGTACACATTATAATCGCTAAAAAAAGAATCTATCACTTCATATAGTTATGATAAATTTAAATAATATAATATAATAATTATATATAATCTCTAAATAATCATATTTGTTTTTACAAATGAAGTAGCCAAGCGCCATAATCGACAATTTATATTTTGCTTAAACAAAAAACCGTGGATTTCGATAAGGATAAAGTCTTGAGCACTTCACAAATTGTGGATTAGGCGCCTGTATACTTTGAAAAAGAATTTTTCGCAAAATCTGCATACATTTCCTTCTGCACTTAGCAATACATCTCTCTATCGATGTTGAATTCTAAGTAACGCAACGACGATCGAAATCATATAATCATCCCAGGAACGAACCGTCATGCCAAGTTAAGTGATGGCAGACGAGACACCTGTTGCGATCCTGATAGCGCACGCTAGGCGACAGATAGTTAAGTAGGTGAACGAGTAAACGACACCGCCTTCGTAATTTCGCTGTGCGTATTTTTCCGCTGGGAACTACGAAAACCGGCTTCCACCTGTCTGCCTATGTTCGCAATCATCACAGATCGTATCTCGAAAACATTTACGAGCGAGTCTCGTAGTTTTATTGCTTCTCGGCAGTGACTCATCTTTGTCGCGCCTCTCGACCTGTTCGCATTGCGACGGAAGTTTATAAATCATAGATTTTTTACGGGCGCAAGGGGTGATATATTACTTTCGTGATTTCTAAACTAGTTTTTCAATTTTCTGTCGCCATCTCTCTTATATTTATACAAATACAAATACATTCGTACTTTTATTTTATTCGAGAAAATATATGAGAGCTATTACAGTGTCTCATATATCAAATAATTAAGCTATTAATAACAAAATTTTCGATCCGGTTTAAAACCAATCTTAATCGATAATAAATACGAAATAACGAAGCAAAACTTGAGGTATTCTTTACAAATAAGTTTTCTCTACACTGTTGTATACATATAATGTTGAATTCAATATTCCACAAACTTATTAAATAAAGAAAAACATTTTGCATTTGCTGTTCACCAAGTTTTATCATCATAATTTCAATATCTGATATGAGTTCTGTTTGTTAGTAAAATAAAAAAAATGTTTTCATTTTTAATATCTTTTCTGCAGAATATTGTTCCAACAAGGATCGTAACAGGATTATAATCCTATATTAAAAGTAACGACGGAAGTTCTAATTCTACATGTGTAGTACAAAGCATGTAGCGTCATGCCATTTCGAGACTTTACATTTTTTGCGCATATTCCTGTTTTTCGCTTCCCAACATATATTAAATAATAACGTGAATAACGTACTTATAAAGGTTTTTTTCCCCAAAATCAAAGAGAAGGGAGCTGATAAATTTATAAGAAAATTAGCGAAGATTCGGAAAGCTTTTTGAATGACCCGACGATATATCACGTGCCAAAGTTTGCCCTTAATGCGAAAAGACCGTTATCTCGAAGTCCTAACAAGACATCACAAAGTCTCGTTATCACGGACTAACAGCAGTTTTAAGATTCCACGGCGGCCACTTATGAAGCACAAAAACAGAAAAGTTGCTACATTAATTGGGCTCACAGCTAGACGAGATGTATAGCTCGCAGAGCAGCCGTATTCTTTCCACTGATTTCTCCATTTAATTCATTTCTCCATTCTCTTAATTAAGATTATGGGAAAAATTACAAATTCCACTCGCACCAAAATCGGAATTCGCTTAAATAAATATTTTTTTAACATTTCCTCTCGCTAAAAGATTTAAGTGTACATAATTAGAAAATTTGCAAGTTGAATTAAAGTTGAATTAAAAAAGTTAATGAAAGTTTTCATCCGCTCTTTTTTTTTCAGGATCCCCGTTTTTTTTTTTCCCTTTTTTACGCATTCGCCACAGACAACGATCGCTCCTTTACCGCGGGTCTGTATCGTTATCGTTGTAGGTAAAAGGATCGATTCATGCACATAGATGTCCGTACTTCTTGGAGTGCTCTTCATTATCGCCGCTTCTCTCTAGATTAACGTCGCAGCAGCCAGACCAGGAGAACGTCGATACGATACGAAGCCACCTCACTCCCGCGGTGCTTGCAGGTTCTCTCACGTAAATCGAATAATCGACTGCAATGCACTACGGAATTGAGGATGCAACGCATCCTTATACTTGCATTCCTTTACAGCATTCACTCTCTCTCTCTCTTTCTCTCTCTCTCTCTCCTCCTCTCTTCTCTCTCTCTCTCTCTCTCTCTCTCTTTCTCACCCCACCCCCTCCCTTTCTTTCTAGGACTTCCTTCGTCGTCGCTTTATCTTGTCTTTCCAATACCACGGTGCTTCGGATCCCTTCGGTCCGCTTCATTTCTTCTCGTATGCAGCATCCGCCTCGCCATTGTGCCGCCAAGGTACCCTGGTTTCTCATCATTTCCCAGATAAAAATACGCTTTATTCTTTCATTCTTCACAGCGACGGATTCCTCACGCGAGGCACGCGAATACGCACAAAGCCGTGAGATGCTCGCCGCTCGATCGGGGAAAACGACTCGGGCGAATGAATTCGCGAGGGCGACGCTCCGTGTCCCGAATATTATTCTCATGTGATATTATTCTCCGCATTCACCGACACACTTGGCACGCTTCTCCGTGTATCGAGATATCGAGGTATATTGCCGCGGAGTATTGTATTAAACTTCGCTATATCAAATTCTCCCGCGAGTCATCTCATCGCGAAGAGTAACGATCGCGTGCGGACGACGCGTCGCGATTGCTAATGTAACTGAAAAATCGGCACACGCGAGACATAAATAAATTTACCAACGGACAAAAAACATTATATATCACACAAATATGCCAAGGATAAATTTAAAATGGTGAATAGTGAAAAAAGGTGTTTTGCTGCTGACTTTTGCATGAATTTAGGTGAAGACGTATTATACAGCGTTATAAAGTGTTTTGAAAGATTCATATCGATATTTACAAATATTTAATATATAGTGATCTTATCTTCTTCTAATAATTATATTAAAAGAAATGATGAAGAATAAAGCTTACATTGAAAGTAATCGTAAATTATTAATTTTTCTACATTCAGATACGACTTTGTCCTTGGATAATATTATAGATGATGATATAGAAGGACGATGTAAATGGCATACTGTGTAAACATTTAGGATGAGACATCATCCTGCGTTACGAGCTTTCATCGTCGTTACGTAATAACAGATGTAGGTTATAACCATAAAAGTAATTTCGTGACGATAATTCAAGGCGAAAGAACTCTTGATCTGTCGGATAAGCGCAATACCGCTAAAATAAGCGCTAATTCTGCATGACACACGTCACATTGCGCATTCTTTTTTTTCCGTCAATCTGTATTATTTGTAACCTCATATAATCCTGTGCATTTTATCTGAATCGAAGCTTTTATTCCAGTTGTGTTTGTGGATTATGCTCTTAACATGGCGATTGGGAAATGCAAATCAGATTGAGATTTTCAGCCAGCAGCATCGCCGCGTATCCCTCTGTTCTTCGTTCGTTTTGCGCCACAAAAAGTCGACTAAGAAATTCAAGAAATTATTTGTAACCGTAACTTGTTAGCGGAGTATTGATGTATACGCGTCTCGATTCGGAGCTCGGTATCGGAAAGAAAATTAAGCGCGATACTTCTGCAATATTTTACTCACATTTCGAAGGGATATTACGCTCGTAAACAGTGCTTCGATAACATGTTCCATTCGCGGACGCGGATGCAGCTTTAAACATTTCCCTGAATTTTTTACGGTGATATCTAGAGATGGAAGATCGAGGACTAAGCTGCTTACGTGCAAGTAGCGGCGATAGCGGTGATGGCTGCGCCTAATGCGTCGCCGCCCGGAGACAAGCACGAGGAAAAGTCGCGGGAAAAAGCGCTTTGCTTCCGTAAAAAAGTAGCGAGAGGATTCAGCGCAATAGCGAAGGAAGCAACGACGGATCGTTCTCTTTAATCCGGCTGAAACGCGCGTCGGGTAGTTACGGCTTTTTATTCGACGGCATAATGGCTCGGGCTCTTTGCGAGAGAATCCCATAGAGCAAAATGGGAAAACCGTGGATCTCGCCGTACGTATCGCGCACCCCGTTTCCCGTCGTACGTGCGCTATCTCTGCCCGATCGCGCTCCACGGAAGATAACAAATCTTTTTGCGTGATTGTAATTTTAATTAACTCCAGACACAATCTCGAGAATTCGCTTCTCATTAAGAGAGAGAGAAAGAGAGAGGTTTACCCTCCCCTTTATTAATACCCTCAAGATGCGAGGTATTTCTCGTTGGACGAAAACGTTCCTAGCGGTTGTGGCGCCGATGTTTTTGAACAAATTTGAATAGGTATCTTGTTCCTAAAGTTAAATCGTTCGAGAACCGAAATAGGTCAGTCGGATCTGTACACAATCCGGAATGTTTAGGAAGAATTCGGCAAAGAGATACCTATCCGGCCAAAATTCTGTCTGAAATTTATCAGAAGAATGCGCTTCTGCTACTTGATTTCCATATCTATGATCCGCACGCTGGTCCGCGTTTACGCTTCATCTGAAAGTCTCGCATTCGCAATCAGGAAAGCGTCTCCACAAACCGATCGATCCGTCCTTTTGTACGAACACCCGCTCTCGCTCTCTCTCTCTCTCCATCCCCACGCTAAGAGCCGAGAGGAAAGGGAAGGGGATGAAAAGGTGGGTTGCGCGGAGGAGTAGTTTTCTTGTGAAGGAAACTGGCATCGCGACAGCGCGAATATTGCAGACCACTGAAGTCGCCGCTCTCTCCCTGTAGAGCGCAATATTTTTCTCTCGCACCGACGCACGCCGTATTAAATGGCGAGATTAGTCTAACAATCTGTCAGAAAGCTCTGCCGACAAAACAAATTGTTCGCGGTCGCTATGATCTTCTTGTATTCTCCGCGCTTTAACGTTTTAGCGGTGGAACGGCGGAAGAAGCGGGCGGACGAAAGACCAGGTAATTAATGATCGCAATGCCGCTTAAAACTACGCACGTATCATTCATGAGAGAATTCTCCATCACGGAATAAGTTCGTGGGTCTTTCTGCATTTTTCAAGCACCGAAAAACTCATCCGCAAAGTTAAAGTCAATATCAGTTGCGAACTTCATTTCAATTTCAAATGCGCGCAATAGCGCTCAAATTTTTACAGAAAAATTTCCAAGAGATCGACAATTCTAGTTTCGTGAGAATTCGAAACATCTCGCACTTTGTCACTTTTTGTCGAATTACTGTATCGCTACATAAGAATGTGTAATTTCGCGTCTAGCGAGGCACTATAGATCGCACGCTCATATGGCTATCGCAATTTCGACGAGAACAGAGGAAACGTTATTCACGAAACTTCGCAAATTTAACGGAATCGTACGTACGTGTTTCCGTTTGAAAAAAAAAAGTTTACGAGCGAGCACACACGTACCTACTTGTCGCGCGGAATTATACACGCGCGATGTCATTGTCACGTGTCATAACGTACGGACGCTGCACAGTCCTGAAACGCTTCGATAATCAGATTATTGCGGAATGAAATTGCGCCTTTTGCACCGCCCGCTAACGGTGCGCTTTTTCGCCGAAGTTGGACAATCTCTCTAAAATTGAACGGCACATGTTTCAGAACAGAATCTCCCGGGAAGATATCACCAAACTTTGCATTGGGACCGTACGATTCCGAAGAGTTGGATTCATATTTTCGCGAGAAATTTTGTGTACAATCGTACGATGCATAGAGCAATGTTTTCCAACTGGTGCATTGCGAGTTTCACGTATTTCTCGCATTTTATTCAGATTTCAAAATAGATTTTTCATTTCAAGTAAACAGAAAATAAGTTTTATTTTATTTTAGAAAATATTCTGAAAACATAACTGCAAACTTTTTGAATATTTTTTCCAATTATCAAATATTTTGTTTAAAAGAAAGCTTTTTCATCATGATGCCAATGCATAAATTTCTTATATTTATATATGATATTTTTTTAGGCGCCAGTTAATTCTCAATTGTTAAACCATAATTAATTGTAGAATTATAAAACCATTTGTGCTTTTTTTTATATTTTAGAAAGAACATTACTCTTTACTTTGCACAAACCAAGGAACAGGAATACATTAACATAATTTTTATAAACTATATTAACATCTGTCATTCTACTACTGCTTCTATACCAGTTATTGGAAAGAACTTTCTTCATGTGTATCTATTGAGAAAACGAAAAGAACACCAGATCTTACTTGGAATAAAATTCTTGCTAAAATAAACGATTTGAAAAAGACAAAAAGTTCTGTTAAGGCAGATGTATCTCCGTCCTGCCAAGCAATATTTTCAACATTTATTCTGTAAGAATGAGACGTCGTTACTCACCGTGGGGTGATTTTGGCACGTAGAGATTGAGATAGAGGCAGTCTTCGCTCTGGTTAGCCAGTATGGGCGCTAGCCTCTCGAAGTAGGCGCGCCTCTGCCGTGGCAGGCTTGCGTCCGGTACTGGAGGCTGTTGCGGACAGGCCGGCGGCATCGTGTCGGCGAGCCTGGTGCCGCGCCACGGCGTCGGGGTGACCGGTGGCATGTAGCGTAGGGCGCCGAGCGGTGGGGTCGCGTACGGCACACCGTAATAAGTCTCGACGGAAGTCGATGATCTGGCCTCGATGCCGCGCAGAATACCGTAGCGCGTCTTGACCGTTCTGGTGCAATACTTCTGAGTGCCCGCCAAGGCCTCGGTAGCCGCCAGGCAGCATTGAGCGCAGAGAAGCGCCAGTAGGAAGACGCTCTTAACGAGGCCGTCGTCGCGCGGAATCTTTTGGAGAATCCCTTTACTCGCGATACCCTTCGCATTTTGTCGTCGCTTCTCTCGTCCTCTTCCACCGTCGTCGTCCGTGTCGCGTTCGCTCCTCTTCCACGCTCCCTGCTTTTCGCATTGCTCGCCGGAAATCCCACTTGTCGCGCGACTCTCCAGCTTCTCAAGAACTTCACGGCACACCGGGGAAGCATCTCGTCCTCGATAAAGAGCGTCGCGCCGCGTTCGATACGACGCGATAACATCGCGCCGCGTAGAACAATGCTGTCGATCGACATGTCTAGCTGATAGTCGCCTGCCGTTGGCGAGGAGGACGGTGTCGGGAGGCGAGAGGTCTTTCCTCTTCCTCTTCCTCGGCAAAGAGGAGGAGGACGTCCGCATCGCGTCACGCCGCCGCGGACTGGCCCCTGCGGGCCCCGCATCTGTGGGGCCCTCCTGCCGATGGACGACCCTCTTCTTCTTCCGCTTTCAACTTCCGCTTTCCTTCCCCGTTCGTCGTCGCCGCCGCCGCCGCCGCCGCCGCCGCCGCCGCCGCTGCCGCCGCCGCCGCTTTACCTGTCCTTCGCCCTTCCGCCGCCGCCGGCGCTTTTTTACGCCCGCCCTTCTGCGCCCTTTTCCGCACCGCTGCCGCCGCTACCACCCTTATCCCGTCGCCGACGTCTACCCACTCCCACTGCTTCCGGTACGGCTTGCCGCCACCTCCAGTCCCGCGCCCTCCGAGCGGCTTTCGCTCCCCGTCCGTCGTCTCGAATTCAAAATACAGGTTCGGTGCTATTATCACGCTGCTGCTGCTGATCGACTCCGAGCGGGCTCTCACTTCCATTCTCAGGTGCATGCGTTGCCCACGCTGAGCTGCCAAGTTGGCGACTGATCGTCGTTATCGCGCGGCACGCGCGTATACACGACGCTCCGGTGACGATCGACGAGCTCGAATCGTCGGCAGTGAATATTCCTGATGAAATCATCGGCGCCCGGAATACAATGTTTAAACGGCGCCCCCCTTCTTCGTCGACTCGCGCAGTGTATTCTTAACGCACACGTCCCCGACGCGTGCTACGACTCATCTGGGAAGGGAGAATCGGTCCGTCGATGATTTTTGCAATCTGCAATCCAGAAGCCGTGTATCTTCGTCTCGAAACCTGCTACTTCCGCCCTCGCACTCGCCGTACACGCGCGACACGCTGCAACAACACGCAAAAAGCGCTTCGTTAGCGCGGCTTCTCTGAAAATGAACTAACTTCAAGTCAGATCCGATTAACTCGATAGTAGTCGCGCGACTATAACAAATTTACGAACTCGCTAGACTTCCACACTCGTACATCAGCCAAAATTCTACGAAACAAGACGGGCGCTGTTCGTGCTCAAGAACAAATGGCGCGAAGATTGCCTACTCCCTGCTCAGTGAACCGGAAAAATGTATGCTCGATATACTTCCAAGGGGACAATCGTGCGTGAAGCGTGTGTACCCCAACGACGTTCTTTTCCCGCTCCTTCGTCCTGCTCTTGCGACACTTGGGCGAAATACAAAAAATTTTTTTATATATTTTTAAAAATTCCATTTGTTACAGGAATAAAAATATTCGGAAAAGCATATGTATTTTCGCATCTAATAAATAATCCTACTAAAAAAATATCCTGTTTTTATTTTACCGAACTGTTTCGTTATAAATTCTTTATAATTTTAGTCTCCACTCTGTATTTCGTTCTTGCAAAATAACGATAAGTGTGCGAAGCAGATCTCGCATCCCAAAATATAATAATGAATTTCTATATATTGCGGTGAAAACTGACCCTGCGGTGGTAATAGTGCAAATTCAACAGTTCGGATTGCACATTAATATGCAAATGTATGCATGGACCCTTTAGATCGAATTTTCGGGAATTTGGTGGTGTCGGACTTGAAATTTACGTTCGATAAATCAGTAATTAATGTACATTGGCGGGGCCCGCGGGTAACGAAAAATCAAATTGCGCAGCCAGTCGCCCGACAAAACCTAATTAATTGCGATGACGATGTAGTTTGATCCGACTGAGTTGCTCAAGCTGTTCGAGTAACGCGAAATCCGATAACATTCAGCCGTGGCTACGTGAGAATTTCCAATTTCCAAGTTGAGGTAAACTATATCCGCCGGCCTCCCACGGTGCATTCGGCTTCGACAACATTTCCCCCACGGGGAAAACACAGCCTGTGTTTAAATTACAACGGAGAGAGTTCCCGTTACGCCCCTTTTTTTTCATTATAATGCTTTTTTTCCGAAGGCAAGACTACAAAGTAGCCCCGTGCCTGTGCTTTTCTGCGAGGACCCACCTGCGCGACGGAGCGACGTAATAGTCCATTGCGGTGAACGTGCAATTTTTAAGACAGCCCGTAAAAATGGGAGCGACATTTTCTCGCGCTCACTGCTTTTACTTTCTTAAGCTGCCGGCGAATGCGCGTCGAACTAGAAGAAGTGTATCGACAACATAACTCCTCAACGAGATACGGTGTAATTACTTTTTGTGTAAAATTTTAACACGGCCGTGTACTAAGTGTACCAAGGATGTAAGCGTGTTAGAAATTGGAATTGACAGTTTTACTCGTTCCTCAAATCTATCATTTAAATTTTTATTTAATTACTTATTATTTTGAAGAAATGCATAAACGCGTACCTATAAATATCGTTTACAAACACCAAGCAGACGTTGGAGAAAGTTCAGAATTATGAAAACAAAGTCCACTTAAATGTAAATGGCATGTAAATGGCTGTTTGAAAGTTCAAATACTAATTATACATTATATTTGTAATTTCAATTTAAAGCGAAACTTGATTATTCAAAGCTCCTTCGGCGCAACACCTCATAAATTGACAAAGACAATGATAAATATTTATATATTCGTGTTCTTACTGTTGCCGGTGGATAATACACGTTTCGACCGGGAAAAATATGTCAGTTTTAGTACAAGGTGAGCGCTTCGGTTTAGTGCGACATGTCTTCTAACTTCGCAGATCGCGGATTCCCCGGCGGAGTCCTCCGTCAACGAAACTGCGCACTACCGACGCAGCCTCACAAGTTACGAAAGGGGAGCAGACCATCGTCGGATTACGGTCCGATTCCGCGCCATTCGGGCGAGCGAGCGAGCGAAAACGAGATGCCGATACCGAATCATAAACGCGCGAGAATCTCGCCCGGCGAGCGAAATTAAATTCCGGACTCGCGCTAATTGAGGGGACGAACCGGATGATTAATAATTCACCGACGAGAGCGATAAGTTCATAGTTTCCGGAGAAGAATCTACGAAGTGGAATCCACGGGGAATTATCGAGACGGTAATGGCAGCGAGAAAGAGAGGACCGATTCTTGAAGGTTTCGTGAAAAACGCCGATATATTATCGCGGAAATTGCGCGAGTGTCCCGACGACATTTTTGCGCGAATCAAAATGTATTCCGCAAGAATACATTCTGCAAGAAATGGATGAGCTGAAAATTGATGATCCATTTTACAAAATTGCGAATTCTCAATCTTCAAAGTTGGAGATTAACTTTGCGATCCTTAAATTTCCTTTAATTGTTTCCCATCTTTTTCTAACTATTTTAGTTGACGACGACACATGATCAAAAATTGAAATGCACATCAAGAATAAAAAATAACGATACAATAATTTTGATGATTGTCCTTGATTTCAAAGATTAGATATTATTTAAAAAAAAAATGCATTTATTGAAATCAAAATTTTGTCATTGAATTTATCATCAAATTACTTAAAATTTTTAAACGTATTTTATAAGTTTTAAAGTAGATGATAATGTTGCAATTGCTATAACGAGGCGTTCAAAAATAATAATGATGTTATTCATACATCTGTTTATATTTTAATGTATTTTAATTGCAGCTTGAAATATTTATGATTTTATAATATAATGACATGCACACAAACTCGAAAGCTAATTACATTATTATAATTATTTACGAAAAGGATTAAATTAGAATTAAAATGTTAAAACAAATAAATAGATATAAACATATATAGACATCATAAAATAAATTAAATAAATTATTGTCCTAAATAAAGTACTAATAATAAATCCCTATTTGATTTATATTTCACAGTTTTGTAAAAAATATCTAATATCAAATGAAATCCGTAAACTGTGGAAGCTAAAGATGTATGAATTGTTTTCTTTTGAGATATTAATCATTCTCGAAATTTTACGGCTCAGTTATCATTGCTTGTAATTTTATTCTTTCCTGCAGCATAAACGTATGCAACAAACGTATATTGATCGAAAATGACAATACGTGGATTTGTCCAAATCTCGACGCTATCACCCGCGGTATCTCGATGTCATAAATTTCAAATCTGCCAAATATTCAGTAAACTAGAATCGATGGTTGCGGAAGCAAGCACCGTAAATTCAAACGATACACATTTTTGTCTTTACCAAGCAATAATATCTATCCTGCTTAATTATTGAGTGAAAAAAAAAAAAAAAAACTGTTTTATCACACATTCGCAGGATGGAAACGTGAGAAACGCACCGTGAGCCGAATGCAACATCCAACTCCTTATCTAGTCCGGTCTCCTCGTATCACATAGTCCATTCCGGGGTGCACTTAATATACTCTCGATCAGACAACTTCAGTTCGGAGAATTTCGATTCTACCGCTCCGGCACCAGCACACGCACCAGCACGAAGCGCTTCGATCCATTCGACGCGTCTCGCATCACGCTTAAGAGTCCGTCGCGCTCGGGTGAGGACGGTGTCGGAGAAACGGAGTACGAATTTCGGGATCCGTGCGCGATCCGGAGCGCGTTATTCGACGGCGTTGTCAAGCGGCGATCGCGACGGACGCGCCGGATGTTCACAGCCGCTTCGAATCGGGATCATCCCCGAGATCTTCCCTCACGCCAGCTGTTGAATCGCGATGACGGCGCGTCGCGAGCGGGATCTAAGCGTGCGGGAATCGCGCGGGAGACGAAACCACCGGGAACCAGCGCGACCAGCCGGATCAGCCGACCAAACCCGAACCGACAACCAACCCCCAGAGCGACCCGCACCCTTCGTGTGCGCGATCGACTGTCTGTCCCGGGCTCTAC